CCTCCCTTCCTTGCAGAAGCACCAGGACACTTTCTCCTTGGCCCCCCAGCGGCCGCTCCCCACCATCAACCCCATAGGCCACTCTCTACATCCGAACGGAGGGCCGTCGCTCAAGCCCTCCCCCGTGCCACGGACCATCCAGGCCATGCCCTGGGAGCAGCGCTCCCTCTACAATCAGTGAGCTCCTCCTCGCCAACAACGCAGCCTCTTCTTCCACCCTGCCCCTCCCACACCCACACATGAGGATGGAGGACCCCTGAATGCCCCCCCAACCCCCCCCTCAGCTTTCTGGACCTCTCCTTGGGAATGCCGTGTGTGGGAATGGGGGAGGGGCCCCGTTGAGAACTAGTTGAGATTGATTTCTAAGTAGTTAGGTTGAAAACAATGTGTTGCCTTGACCCTCATGTATGATCTATGCCATGTACTGGATATAAGTTAAAATGTCTTTACCCCCCCGCCCCACCCCCCCATCCTGATGACAATTTATCTCCCCTTCCTCTTTTTCCCCCATAGTTATGAAAATATCTATCCTTCCCGTTATGAATAGTGCTCCCAAACCCTTTTTCCTTTTGTTGAATGAGGTAGAACGTTTTCTTTTGTATCAGGAGCCAATCCCAAATCCAGAACAAGAACCAAGTGGTTGTAAAATGTTACAGATTTCTTCCAGTGCGTCTGTGTTTTTGATAAATGCAGATCCTGGACAGTAAGGAAGGCGAAAGCGGTGTTCCTCTGGCGTGCTGGAGAGCGGCCGCCGTGTATATTGTGCATCAGGAATCCCGTCATGTCAAAGCACTGGGACCACAGCTAAAGGGGGCCACGTCCTCGCTGGGCGTTACGACGCGTCTATGATTCAAACTGACTGTTACAGAGTTTAGCTACAGAGATGTACTGCTGCTCCATCGGCCCTGATCCTCAGCCAGGGACCCCCGACCAGAGCGGACCGGACTGAGCTCAGCCGCGCGGCCAAAGCCCGGCCTTCAGCTTCAAACCTAGTCTCTGTATTTATAAAAAAAAACTACAAAGAACAGATTATTGACTGTTGGTCAGCAGCCAATCAGGATTGACTTCTGTTAACTTTAGTCTTTTTGTCAACTGTTGAATTTGATGAATAATTCATGGATCCAGCATGTAGTTAGTTTATCTCGCTAACATGATGGTTGTTAAAATACCCACAATTCTGCTGTCATTGTCTTTCCTCTTTTTAAAGTTGTTTCTATTTTTTATTCCTGACATGTTTTCATTGTTGCTTTCTCTCTCCTTGTAAAGTGTCTTTGAGTATTTAGAAAAGTGCTATACAAATAAAAAATGTTTTATTATTATCATCACTAGGCAATGATTGAAGCCTTAACGTCTGGTTTTAGTTTGAGACGATCGATGAGTATGAATCATGGGATAAATGTTCCAAAATTTATTTTTTGTTGTCTTCAAAGCTAATGCAAAGATTAAACTAGGGCTCATTGTAGATTAACTGAATTAACTAGATTAGAATTAGTATCTTGTTTAAAAAAAAGAACACCAGGCACGAGATGAAGGGAAAAAATGTCAAATCCAGCACCAGAGGCGATCAAAGCTCAGCAGCTGAATTTGAGCAGAAGTTCAAAGAAACGGTAAAGTTTTCTGTTGTAAAGTGAATCACCTGCATGTTCTGGAAGGAACGAGCGTCTCACCTGTGATTGGCTGCGTCTCATCTGTTCGTGGGCGGCTTGAAGATGTGCCCACGCAGAAAGCCTGCAGAATATATCCAAAATGTGTTGCCATAATGAGCCTCTGAAGTATAAGGTTTATTTATTGCTTGGACTGTAAAACATCATGATTATGGGGTCCAACAATTGCTTACATCATACCTTTAATATTTATATTAAATAATTATAATTATTATATAATTAAAAAAGGGTTCCAATAATTTATGGAACAACTATAAACGTTTATTACACATAAGCTGATAGTTTCAAGCCTTTAATCGGTTGTGATGATTTCCACAACATTTAAATTAAGAATTTTACGTCAAATGAATAGGGTTTTTAGTTCTTTACATACACTTTTAGCCACTAGGGGCGCTAGACCTCCCGCCTAAAAGCGTCTGGTAGGTCTGCCCTGAAAATTCAGAATTCAAACTTCTGAAAGTGCTTTAAATGTGAAATTATTACATACTGTTCAATAAATGATAAGTGTTTTTAATTAAGAGTATCTTTTTACTGCAGTGTGTTGATTTCATGTTAATATTAGGGATGCACGATATAATCGGCCCCCTATCGGTATCGGCCTTAAAACTGAATATCGGACATCGGCCACCGCACCGATATTTAACCCGATATTTGATCAGCTTCTGAGTT